TCCCCACCCCACCTTCCACACCCCACCTTCGACACCCCACCTTCCACACCCCACATTCCACACCCCACTTTCCACACCCCACCTTCCACACCCCACCTTCCACACCCCACATTCCACACCCCACTTTCCACACCCCACATTCCACTCCCCACTTTCTACACACCACATTCCACACCCCACCTTCGACACCTCACCTTCCACAGCACACACTTCACACCTCACACCTCACACCCACACTTCACACCCTACATTTCACCCCCCATACTGCACACGTCAATCTGTGCACATGTTAGGCCTGGGACTGGACTCCGGCTTTGTACCCAGGACAAAGCAAGCACCTTCTCTGCCCTTTGGGAGCTTCCACTCCTGCAGGAGATGGAGGAAATCTCCGAACTCTCGGATAAAGCCACACATCGACAAGGCTGCCAGGGAGCCTTGCTCACAGTTCCCTCTGCAGCACGGGGGACAGTGGGCTCTGTGACGATCTGGGCAGGGTGGCAGGCAGGTGTATGCAAAGGGAACAGAAGGCATGGAAAGCATTTGCCAAGCTTTCGTCTTCCCACACGCTCATTTTTGAAAACAAACCCCACCACCACCATCTTTGCCTGCAACTGGAGTATCTTCATGCTCCTACAGGGAAAAATTAGTCTCACTAGAGGTGATCTCTATATGGTAAATATGAGGTGAAAATGAACGCTTTTGTCTAGAAAATGAACCAATAAAACCATTTTATAAATCCTTTCTTCAGTACTGGTTCCTTAGGACGTTGGATTGATCAGTACAGGGCCTGTATCGTGCTTTTGTGTTTAATCCCACAGAAGCCAGAGAGCAAGTGGCAGAAAGTTGACTACATCCTGGAATTCAGCGAATGGCTGTATTACAACCAGTTTCCTCTTGAAGACGTAGTCTTCCACATTGAGTGGGCAATTGAGATCCTGCTGGCGATGAAGCCCCCTGGAGATGTCCCCAAGCCAGAGCCCACACCAGAGGGTGAGCAGGCACAGCGGCCAGTGGTGCCGCCTGCCCCGACCACATCCACTTGGTCCTCTGGGAGGTGTGGGCAGGGCACGTTGGCCGGGCACATCGGCCGGGGAAGGCAGCGGGCCCTGGGTACCGCGGCACTATCCTCAGGAGAGGGGAATTCAGAGAACCAATCCTGCCATGAAAGGTTATGTCCAGACTTGTGGAGAGGTGGGGGCACGTCCTCATGGACAGGGTCTGGGCCTGGCCCGGGGCCGCCTCCTTGTGGAGACTGGAGGAGCTGAGCAGGCACCGTGGTCATTCCCACGGTCACTGCAGACCCACCCGGAGCTCACGTCTGCAGTTCTCCCCATCGCCAGGCTTCTACCTGTCCAGGCCCCTGCTCGTGGCAGTTTGTGGGAGGTGGAGGCGTGCTGCCAAGTAGGCAGCCCCGGCAGACTTCAGCATCCCTCCCTGCTGTGACCAAAATCATCCAATGGCTCAGAAACCACATGCCTGGACTCCAGCCCAGGCACAAAGCAGGGGACAGAGTGTTCTGCGGGAGTCCACTGGGATCCCACAGGAAGAGAGGAGCTGAGACCCTCAGGCTGCCCTGAGTGTCTGCTCCATGTGCACAAGCTGTGAGTCCAGTCTGGGTCCAGGGCAGGCTCCAGACAACCCCCGAGCTTATGGTCAGGACAGGTGGGGGGGCCCTTCTCAGAACCCCAAGGCCCTGGGGAGCAGTGGTGGGGCTCTTAGGTCGGGACAGGACGGGGCCGTGGCTGCAGGGCGCCAGGGTACCCAACTCAGGAGTAGCACACAGGGCACTCTGAGTGGCCTGAGGTGCCCACGCCAAGGGACTGAGAAGCACAGGGCCACTCTGCAGGGACAGCAGAGCCAAAAGGGAGGGTGGCAGATCTCTCCCTGTGACAGAGGAAGGGTGGCCCCTCAGCTCCTCCTCTGGCTCCTTCCTCCCAGCAAGAGAGCGTTTTACACCGAAAGGGAGAGTCAGCCCCAGCAGGTCGGTGTCCCAGAGAGTTGAGGGGCCTGGGACACTGGCCCCAGGCCAGGCTCTGTGGACTCTCATTCCTGGTGCGGAGGCAGCCTCCATCCTGGGCTTGCAGAATTCAGGGCTACAGGAAAGGGTCGGAGCCGAGGAGAGTACCAGCCTCCAGTCTGCCTGTGAGAGTAGCACACGGACCTGTGCACTCAAAGTCCAGCTCACAAATCCGGATGAGTCAGGGCTCAAGACCCTCAACCCAAACCAGCCTCAAAAGAGGCAGTCAGGCAGCTGTCCCGATGCCCAGGCCTGTGGGCAGCGGCTGCATGCACCCCAGACATGACCTCTTGGCCTGGTGCTGGGGCAGATGTCGTGGGAGGCCGCAGAACACGATGCCCTGATGGGTCGCCTGCACAGATCCAGGCTCCTCGACTGTGGGCAGGGGGAGGGCAGGCAGCTGGTCCGAGGGGACGCCTCTCCAGGCCCCCCAGTCTGGCATGCTCTCAGCTGGGCACCCTGTTTTGCAGAGGAGCACACACCTGTGCAGACACCTGCAGAAAGCCCGGTGTCCGAGCACGGGGAGGCAGCCTCCTGGGAGAGGCTGCACAGCGTGAGGCAGCTGGAGGCGCTGGCACGCGCGCACATCCTGCTGGCCCTGGTGGTGGGGCCCGGCGCCGCCAGCCACCAGGACGCCTGCCTCCTGGCCTACGCCTTCCTCAGGCGCCTCTGGCAGGTGAGGTGCCACGCCTCGTGGTGTGGGGCCCCCAGCTGGGCCCAGAATCTGGAGGCTTGTGTCTCTCTGTTTCCCTTGGGGGATCGCAGTGGCATTCTTTAAGGAAATTGAAGCCTTTGCATATATTATCTAAAGACCTTTGAGATGTGAACAAGTTTCTCTCCTACGATGCCCACGTTTTCCGTCTCCATCAAGTTATACCATCAGCCTGACGAACAAGATGGAGCGAAGACCCCCCTCGACTCCCGCGGCCCGTGCCCTGCACCCTCCATGCTCCCAGAACTCCTCAGGGGAGGGGCCTCACTGCTCCCTCCTAATCGGCCCCTCCTGTTCCCTGAAACCCACCCCAGCACCTTTGCCCAACCACCACCCAGCACTGCCGAGGTCAGCCACGCTGGTGGACAGTCAGCCACAGCTCGAGTCCTCCTGTCTGTGGGCAGCTGTGGCAGCAGTAGATCCTGAACCACCCAGCTCAGTGGGCTTCCAGAACCTTGTTCTGTCCCCCGACTCCCCACCCTGTGCATAGCCACCTTGTCTCATGCAGCCCCTGCCCCTGTCTCTGTGTGGGACCTCTCAGTGGTCTCCTGTCCTTACGGACAGCCCATGCATACCTGCCCAGGCCTTCCATGGGCAGTGCCCCACAGGGCAGTGTCAGTCAGACAGGCCTTTCTTCTGAGGACAAGTTTGCCCAGAGCTGCCACTAGGGTGCTGAGCATGGCAGCCACTCCACAGCAGTGGCAAGAGCGTGAGTGGCTGGGAAATGCCGTCTTGGTCCTGGCCTCCAGCGTGCCCCAGGCCCAGCCTCCAGCAGGGCCCCTCCGCCCCCACCAGGCCCTGGGGCTGTGAGCTCCCACGGGGATGCTTTGTGATTGTTTGAGGAGAACTGCTAGAAATGATTCAAATGCGCCCTTAATTAGAGACATTAAACCAGTTTACTTCGTGGAGTGGCAAGTCCTGGCCAGCCCAAGGCCTGTCGTGATCATGTGCCTCTGTCCTGGCAGCCCCTGCGGGGAAGTCCCCGTCATCCCTGCCTGGCCCGGCCACAGGGAGGGGTGCCGTGGGACAGCATCAGTTCACCTACAGGAAGCCCCGAGCGCAGCAGGCATGCAGGGTCCAAGCACGGGTCACGCAGCCGCCGGGTGCCCAAGCCCCGGGCTGGGCCCAGCTGTCTGCTCTGCGGGGCTTGACCACGTCACGGCTGCTGGACAGACGTGAGGCCACCACACAGAGCGTCGGAGTTCCTGGAAACACCTGATCTGAGCGGCTCCCCTGGCGTGGGAGGAGGTGGCCTGTGGTCTGCCGCAGACGCTGCACATTTGGATTTCATTTTTCCTTCAGGTTTCTTTGACAACAGCAGGAAAATTAATTCCAGAAAGTAAAATCCCAGCAGCAGCCAGTTCACATCTGTTATTGCCCAAAAAAGAGGAGAAAAGTAAAGAAAAGGAGAAAGAGAAGACCAAAGAGAGGGAGAAGGGGACAGGGAAGGAGAACAAGGGCAAGGAGAAGGGCAAGGACGCGAAGCAGGTGACGTGCGCGCAGCTGCCGCCCTCCCCGGGGGACGCTGGGGCCCTGGCTCTGCCACGCGCAGGCCTCGGGGCCTGTGACTTTCTCTGTGCCTCAGTTTCCTCTTCTGCAGAATGGAGGCAGTGACTTCACTCCTGTAGGTTCCTCAGGGACAACACGAGGGGGTGTGTGACGCGCCCCCGCCTGTGCCAGGCCTCGAGCAGCCACTTGACGTGTGCAGTTTGCGCACGGCGTGCCGCTCTGCTCTGCCAGGCTCAGAGGCTGCTGGGGACAGGCACAGTCCGGGTTTGGGGGCGCCGGGGCCAGGGGCCTGGGCTGGGTCCTGGAACAGGGAGAAAAGCAGTTTCTTCATCCCGTGAGAACTTCCTCCCTGAAAACACTTACTTCTCCACGTGCCCGGTAGGTCTGAGACACCTCTGTCTGCCCAGCTCTCCAGAGCTGCGGCCTCACGCGGGGCTCTGGTGGGACGATCCCTCGCGGAGCCCTCGCTGTGCAGGAGGTGTGGGAGGTGAGGGAGGTGAGGGAGGTGAAGCCACAGAGCCCTAGTCCCCGTGGGGTCTTGAGCCTGGGACCTCCCAGGGAGACTGGCTGAGCAGGGGACAGAAAGCATCGGTTTATGCTGCTTGGAAATGAGGTCGGAAGTGTATTTGGGAAGCAAAATCAAAAGTGGCCACGGTCCATAGGCTCCAGAGAGCTCAGATCTGCAGCCCTCACAGGCGCAGTTCCAAAGGGCAGAACCAGAGAAGCGCTGTCCCCACAAGGCTCGCAGCCTGTCCACCGCGCAGCTGTGCCATGAGGCATATGTCTGTAAACTCCACCTCTTAAAGCAGACCCTGCGTTCTTTCCTTTACAGTCTCAAACCCCCGTTCCTAGCAGACAACTTGAAGATTTACCAACAAGCGTAGAGGAATGGGCCTTCTATTCTTGTCCTGAGGAATTGCTGTCTGTATTTAAACAAGATAAGAGTGACTTCACTATCAATGCATCAAGTATCCAGAAGCCGGTGAGTCCCCTTGGCTTGTGGCCACGTCCAGTGCGTCTGCTGAGAAATACAACCAGATAGAGAAATACATACAACAGGGGCTTTGCTTGGTCAAGAAACAGAGCACTGTCAGCCCCCCGGACGTCACAAGCCCCTTCCCAGCCTCGACTCTGTCCCCAGCAACTGCCGCCACCCGTGGGAAGGGTCCCTCTTGTGCTGTGTGTTTACCACTGTGTGAGTCCGTTTCTGTTGCTTATAACGAAATACCTGGAACGGGGTGATTTATAAGAAAATGAAATTTATTGCTTACAGTTTTGGAGGCTGGAAAGTCCAAAGTCCAGGGAACATACCTGGTGAGGGTCTTGGTTGTGACTTCAGTGACAAAGGGTCTCACACTGCAAAATGGCAGGGTAGAGAGAGCAGAAAAAGAGAAAGACAGACTCTCCTCTTCCTTTAAAGCCCTCAGAACCACGCCCCTGACCACCACTTTTAATCCATTCACTACTGCACGGTCCCACAATCCAATCGCCTCTTCAAGGCTCCACCTTTCAATGACCATAATAGGATTCCCCACCCTCTTAACAGTCACAGTGGGGCCAAGTTTCTAATACATAAAACCTGGGGGACACAACTCAGGCTTCAGTTAGTTTGGGGGGGACATAATTCAATCCATCACAACCACCCAGGTGCAGAGTTCCCTGCTGTACGAAGTTCCTACAAACCGGGTGGTTCCAGCAATGGAAACGTCACTGTCACAGTTGTGGAGGCCAAGATCAGCACCATGGGGCCAAGGCCAAGCAGGGGCAGGGCTGGCCTCAGGCCGGACTCCAGGGCAGGGTCCTCCCCAGTCTTGTCTCTTCAGGCTCTGCCTCTGAGTCAGGTCTCCCTCTGCTCCTCTTCCAAGGACCCATGTGGTGATAATAGGGCCACCTGGATGCCCCAGGACACTCCGCAACTCAGGATCCTCATCTGAGTCACGCATGAAGCCCTGTTAGCCATATGAGGCCCCACGCTCAGGTTCCAGGGGTGTCCGGTGTCCAATACCCGGGGATGTTTGTAGCAATGGAGGCATTTGAGATGTTGCCTTTGGGTCTGGCTCTTCTTAGTGTAATGTGGTGGGGTTCATCGGTGCTCGTGGGGGTCACGGGAGCGTGTTCCCTTTCATTGCTGTGGAGTCCTCCGTTGCATAAGTAGACCACAGTTTATCTGTCCGTCCACCTGCTGCTGGACCTTTGGGTTGGTCCCAGCCCATGGCTATCACAGATGAATCTCCTATGAATGTCCGTGCACATGGGTCTCGGGGCCCATGTGCCCACGTGTCTGGAGGACACTCCAGCAGCAGCATGTTTGGATCACGGAGTACGTGAATCTGCACCTAGAGCGTATGTTGCTGAATTGCTTTGCAAAGGGCTGTCCCAGTGCACTGCCCACCTCAGAGGAGAGAGTCCCTGTCACCCACACCGTTGCCAGCCTTGTCCACCGTGTTAATTTGTGCCACCTGCTGGGTGTGTGGTCACATCTCACCAAGGTTTAATCAGACACTGCTGCTACAGGGATGTCCTCTATTGTGAGGCGCCTGTCCAGCCTGTTGCCCGTGTAGTGTTAAGCTGTCTGTCTTCTTATAGATCTGAAGGAATCCTTTATGTGTTCTGGAGAGAACACTTTGGCAGTCACCTGACTAGCAGATCACCTTCATGTGGCGCCTTGTCTTTCCACTGTCCAGTGGGGTCTTTTCATGAATAGAGATTATTAGTTTTAATATAATACGATTTATTAATCTTTTCATTTTTCGTGGTTAGTGCTTTTTTTCTGTCCTGTGTTTAAGTTTCCATTTCTGAAGTGTATGCGAATATTCTCTTGTATTTTTCTGAAAGGTGGAAATATTTCCACCTTTATAGTTTTACCTGCCGTATCTGCGATCCACCTGAAATTGATTTCTGTGTGTGGCGTAAGGGAAGGGGTCAGGCTTCAGGTTTTGAAATCCAGATGTCACCTCGTTGTGTGGTGCCACGTTGGTCACGAGCCAAGCATCCACCTGCACGGTTCTACTCAGGTCTCCACGTGTTTTCTGTTGGTTTGTCTGTGCTTGCACCAGCATTTCACTGTCCCCGTTCCTGAGCTTCATAATCTCAAATATTTGGTAGGGAAGATCCCTCTCCTTACTCTTCAGGAAGGTCTTGGCTCACCTTTTGATTCTCCACTGTGTTTCTGTGTTTATCCTACAATCAGCCTGTCGGGGTCACTACAAGCCCTGGTGGAGTTTTGGTTGTGATTGCGTTGAATCTCTAAATCAGTTCGTGGAGGAGCGTGACCCTCTCTCCGTTGGTTTAGGCCTCTGACCTCTCTTAACTCTGAAGTTTTCTGCACAGAGGTTATGCACACGTTAGAATTTTATTTCCATGTATTTGGTACCTTTGATGCCACTGTAAATATACCTTTTTGTTTCATTTTTAAACTCCAGGTGAAATATAGAAATGTAATTGTTTTCATTTTGACCTTGTAGGCATTAATTTTGTTAAACTCTTAATAATTTTAGTAATTTATCTGTAGATTCTTTTGCATTTTGTGTGTAATAATCATTTCATCTGCAAACAGTTTTTTATTTTCTAGTTTCTGATCTTCACACTTTTTATTTCTTTACCTTGCCCTACTATACTGGCATGGACCTCCAGGGCAACGTCACATAAAAATGGTGACATCCTTACCTAGCTCCCTATCTGGAAGGAGAAGTTTGTTTTCTACATTTTACTATTAGGTATAATTGATATTTGTTGTAGGTTTTTATAGTTCTTTATTGATTAAGGAAGTTTATTTCTGTTTGCTAAGAATTTTAATCATGAATGGCTGCAGATTTTTATCAAGTATTTTTATGCACCTACCTGACTGACGATTATTTTCTCCCTTATGCCTTAAATTAATTACTTTGATTTTCTTTTCTAATGATCATCAGAATAAAGGCCACTCGATCGTGACATATTATCTGTCATCAGATTCAACCGGCAACTGTTTGTTCGGGGCGTGTGCCTCTGTGTTCATGGAAAGACTGGCGTTTAATCTTCCTTTCATACCATGTCCTTGCCAGGATTTGGTAAAAAGTTCTGCTGGCCTTCCAGTCAGTTAGAAAGTGTCCTCTGCTTACTGTTCTTTGGTAGAATTTGTGTAAGATTAGTTGTTCCTTCCTTGAATGTTTGGAAGAATCCCTGGTAAAGCTGTCTGTACCTAGAGCTTCTATTTGGGAAGATTTTAAACTATGGATCCAGTTTATTTAATAGTTATAAAATTCTTTGGGTTTTCTGTTTGTTCTTATAGCAGTGTTTGTGGGTTGTGTTTTTTCTGGGATGTTTCCATTGCATATAAATTTTCAAATGTATTGACATGGTTATTCTTAGTGTCCTTTTACTGTCTCTCACTGTCTGTGGGATCTTCAGAGGTGTCTGTGTAGCCCCCACTCCCTGTCGGCTGCGCTGATTTTATTTATCAATCTTCTCGAAGAATCACGTGCTTTCCAGAGCACCAAAAATGCCACCGAGCTTAGCTATGGTCCCTGAGAGGGCGAGTGTACTCCAGACTGCCCTGAATTGTAGGATGCAGCCCCTCAGGGACCCAGCTGAGAGTTTAGCTTTTGGGGGGCCCAAACTCCAGGTTCTGTGCTGGCCCTGCAGCACAGCTGACCAGACACCCCAGGGTGAATGTGCCCAGATGCCAGGCTGCCTTCTTTTGATAGCCATCTTTTCCCAGATCTTGGCCCATAATTTTTCCCTACATTGTGCACTCTCCAGTTCTTAGAAGTAGACTTTTAAAGTGTCATCCAACTTTTCTAAATTCCCACTGTAGAGTAATTGTTTTAACACTATTAGAAAGCGTTATTTTAAAGCAGTTATATGTGTACACAAGAAATTCAGTTTTTAATGGATCAGTAGTTTTTAGTGGAAAAAAGAAACAAAAACATAAATTTGAATAAATACACACCTGAATGTGTGTCCTGTGAGGATTTTCACGCCTGGGGGCTGAAACACGCCACCGCACACGACAGAAGGAAACCCAATAGTGAGGAAGGGGAGGAAGAGGACACCGCCGGCCCACGCGCGTGGCGGGCACCGGCTGGGTGCCTGGCGCCGTGAAGCCAGCGGCCGACGTCCCTCCCACTCCTGCGACCTTATGTGTTTGCCGTGCACTTATGCAGACCTACAGTTTATACTTTCTGGACCACTTGGCCAAGGCCCTGCAGAAGATGTTCCTGCACGAGCTGGCGATCCCGGTCCTGCAGCTGGGCGTACTCCTCGCGGACTCCGTGGTTGAAAGCAAGAGCCTCGCCGATCTCTACCACCTGCGGTCGGGACACCTCCTTTATCTTCGGGGAAACCGGGAAATGTTTAAGTGACTAGAGTAAAAACTTCCCCAGTGCAGTATAGAAACAAACATTTTAAAATGTTCATTCTATAGTTGACTATTTGCATAAACAGGAAGGTCCCTAAAATTTGTAAGTCAGGTAAATCGAGCTACTTGACTATAAGAATGGCATTTGTATTTTAAACTTTCTACTTGACCCTTCAGAGAATATCCTACTTTTAAGGACACACGCACTGAAGTGTTTAGGGGTAACGGGGCTGGCATTTAGGGACAGTGGCGGTCGGGGGTGGGGTGGAGAGACTGAGGGGCAGACGAGGTGCTCGGGCTCTTGCCGGGTCTGGGTGGGCACGTAGGCAGTGCCTTCCAGTGCTGGGCGGCTTTTCTGTGGGCTTGAAATCATGTCAAAACAAAAATGTGTGAAGCAAGAAGCAAAGCAGGGCTTCTCTGCTTGAAGTTGTGATGGGGTGGTCAGAGCCCACCTGCCCTGCCTTATCTTTGCCTCTAAAGGTGACCCTGAGACCATAAGTACTGAATCAAATAAAGTATATGAACGAATGACTTTTAAAATTCTATCTGAAATTTGATAGCTTTAAAAATTCTTGAAAATTATATTTAAAAATTATATTGTTATGTAAATGCCATCAAAGCACATGTTTCTTTTTTAATTCACAAGTGTGTGTGAAGCACACTAAATTCAGTACAGGTTCGTCTTCTGACAGCATCGACCCTCTTTGTCACGCCCTTGCCCCCAGGCTGGCCCAGGTGTGTTCAGATCTGAGGCTGAGAGGAGCAGCCGCTCAGCACCAGGACGCGCTACGGCAGGTGTACCTCTGCGACTCAGAGCAGGCAAGGTGCGCCACTCAGCAGCGCAGCCCCTGGAGACCGCAGAGACGGTGGGACGCGGCCACCCTTCTGCACCAACGCCTGTGCCTCTGGGCGGCCCTGGGCGGCTCAGGGCCTTTGGGGTCATCTGACGCGGTCGTGGCCCTGGCTGTGTCCCCTCTAAGCACCAGGACCCTACTCCATCACTGCAGCTGGGCGGCGGAGTGTCTGTGGGACCCTCGGCCCAGTGCATGGAGGACAGTGTAGGGGGGCACGGTATCTGTGGGGCAGGGTATGGGAACAGTGCATGGCTTCGCAGTTTACAGTGTATGGAGGCAGTGTACAGGGGAGAGTGGATGGGGACAGTGTATGGGGGCAGGGCATGGGGGACAGTGTTGGGGAGACAGTATATGGGGGACAGTGTTGGGGGTAGTGGATGGGGGA